AGTAAGGTTCTCGGCGTTGATCATTCATTGAAGGGTGAACCATGTGTTCGAATTTATCAAGCACTGTTAGGGTCGATTGAATCATGTCGATGCAATGACTTGCGGTGGCCTACCCATTAAGTCAGCGCTTGCTCTTCCGAACAAATCTGGTTCCAATTCGCAGACCTGAGAGGGGTGAACGTCCCGGTGATCCTGGGACTGGGGATCAAACTAAGGACCTCACGTGTATTGCAGGGCCCCTCTGGTTACTACCCCACGCGACCCAACGCTGTGGCACTCTATAGTAATTAGGCTTAATTGATTGGTAATAGAGTGGTGAGTTAAGACTAATTTTTATCTACATGTCAACTATTCATTAAACCCACGTTGTCAAAAAATGCATACTAAACCATGGATGCGCCAAGCATTAACCTAAGTAGCTTGTAATTTTATGGCCTTATTATTAAGTTTCATTTCTAGAAATCGACTTCTTGTTCATCTTTCTTCGATTATTCATAGTTGCATGGTGGTGATTGAATGACGAAGACAATGTCCAATAGCTCCGACGTTATTTAGCATGAAGTCCAGAGCTAAGTTCAGATTAGATCACCGTTGCTAATATTTTTTACTACCTGACTGCCGTTAAGTAATAACATAAGGACAAAGGATAAAGCTCTCGGCGTTGATCAATCGCTGAAGGAAGCACTATGCATTCGATTTCATTAAGTATCGTTGGAGGTGATTGAATGCATATCCGTCCTTTACAATGACTCGCGGTGGCTTACCGAGATGTATCGAGCCAGTGCTGCTATCCTCCTAGACAAGTCTGGTACCAATTTGTCGACACCGGAGGGGATGGAAGGCTTGGCGGGCCATGGGCGAGGGGATCGATTCCACGTGTGTGTCGCAGTGGCGCCTCCAACTACTGCGCGCCACACGCGCCCTAATAACATGAAATTAAAAATTTTCCTTGTTATTCAGACGGAGACATTCTACTTTTGATAGAACCTGAAAAAAGGTTACGGCTTAGTTATCTCGTCACAACATTGGATCAAATAGCTCATCAGAGAAGCAAAATCAGTTCCCCTAAGTCCATACCTAATAGTCAGACATAGAAAATTGGAGCTACTGCTTTCCGTTTGTGAAAAGGAGTTGGAACATGGAACATAGTCTGTCCTAACCCGCTGTTAACTTCACATGCTATGAGCCTGAATCGCTAAATATATGTTATCTGCATTATCGTCCCACTTTTTCACTCTTCCACGATATTGCTTAAAAACTTGAACAATTCTTCCTCATGCATTGTAGAAGCCATAATGATTTATTCACTGCTTTGTTATTTGCAACCGCCAACCGTAAAGGCTATTAGGCTCGTATGTGGATTCAGCTACAGGGTTGACGATCTGTCATGTCCTCTCCTCACTGACATACCGGCCGGATCCCTGCAAGGAATCCAATTTTGCTTTCGTCACATGCACTTACCTTCGCATATTGACATTTTGTTCGCTTACAGCTGGAAATGTTCCCGAAAGAAACCGATAGCCATGGCGGTGGCGGTGATATTGGTTCACTCTTAGTCAGACTTTCGAGCCAAGTTATACTACTCGTTGCAAACAGTGTCGGTGTGATGCTGATTTTGAAGACTAAGTAACGTGTTTGCTCAGGAAGTCACTCTTCTGGAAGCGAGTACAACCACAATCGTGCGTAACATAGGTACAAGTGTCGTAGAACAAACGACCGACCACCATTCATATCCCGAACACCTTACCGCGTTTCAGTTACAGAGTGAAAGTTATCCTTATTCTTCCAATTCTTTTCGTTCCTATGAATATTCATTTGTTGTGTTTTTTTACTTAACATGAATAGCCGCCGGCGGTGAGCATAACCTCTTACGGGTTTGGTGCTCCGAAATCCGAGCCGATCCACCGCACCTGGAACACTTTGCACTGTTCATAAAGACGATAAATTGACTATGCACCTGCCCGTTGCTGAAGGAGCCATAGAGCTAACCAGTCGCAAGGATATGAGAAGAATCTGGAGAACATCTGGAGAATGTAGTGGATCTCATCGTGAAATCTAATATATTATGTAGTGAACGACTTCGCTGAAGGTTTTACTGTGATGTGGTCATGGCTGTGTTGTTTTTTAAGCAACGTCAAAACGAACAACATCGTCCTCATCTTGGTGAACATATGAAACAGAATCGATAGATACTATAATAACTTGTATTTTTTCTTTTATAAGCTTACACGAGTTTGATACATAATTTTTATTCAGTTAATGTTTCGACATTTTTGCCTTCATCAGAGCCGACAATCCGAGTCGATAGTCCATATAGAACTATCGCGACTATTCGAGTGTTTAAGGTTGTTCTGTTGCAGAATGGGATTTCATTGGGTTTCCAGCTAGCTACCCAGTGCTTTATTAAATTATAGTCAACCAGTTAAGCACGGAAATTTTAAATTTCACTTTTATTGTGAGAACGTCTGTGAAAAATTTAGCAAGGACTTTCACAGCAAACGTTAATGTCATAGTGTTTCAAATATTTCTTACAAAGTTTTGAACAACACGTTCCTTGAGATCACGAAAGTGCATTTTTTCGTTGTTTTAAATGGGACGAGTTCCCGCATTTCTTGAACGAGTTTTCGATTCCTATGGCATCGTATGCTTAGTTAAGGCACTAAAAAATGTAAGCAACTGTTCATTAAGGACAAAATGACCACGACTAATCGGTAAACTCCGAAGCAATCGATGAACTTTTAAAAAGCGCGGAGGAGTAAGCAAGGACTTATGTGAATTCCTAACTGTTTTGAGGAAGTACCTTCAAAGATTGCAGCAGCATAAAACACAATTAAATAGGGCGTTAAGAAGTTTTAATAGTAAACGGGAAAAGAATGGGAGTGAAAAATATAATAACATATCGAGACCGGCAGGAAGCGGAAGAAACTGGTGATGAAGGGATGAAAAGGATTGTTGGCGTGAAGAGAAATCGAGCTGGTTAAAGTGGGTTAAAGTTAAGTTTAAATGCATAAGAGCAGACTCACTGCCCTTGAAACAAAGAGGTTAAAGGGATAAAACAATAAGGGACGGAATTTGGAAATATAATTAATTTAGCAAGAAAGGAAACAAATCGAATCCTGTGACGAAGAGTGAAAGGGAGCAGCTACTTTCCAAAGGCATGAAGGTGTCAAAAAAAATTGAAGTGAACATAATAAAAAAGAGGTATTCGATCGATATTTAATACAATAGATACGGTAGGTCTTACGTGTCATGCCTTATTTGTAATATCTATAGCGACCTTCAATCGTATGAGATCAGATCTCAAATATCTCATCTGACAGATCGTCAAAGATTGATAGTTTGGCCAAAGGTAACCAAAAACTCCTCTAATGATTCTTAATGATGAACCGTGTGAAAACCGAAGAAAAATGAAGAAATCGTGAACAGTTAGAAACACAGATAAAAGACGGAATTTAGGAATGACCCATCACTTATCATCCTAACAACGGCGGAGATAACTCAGTCAGAAAACAATGGAGATTCCAGCTGATTATGTCTCCTTGCAAAGCTGCTCTGTGAGCTTCGTTCGCGCAACGATACGAAATCCACCGCAGTTCTCTTTCATTCGCACATTTCCTATCGTTTTTTCATGTTAAAAAGTATCTATAGGGTAACTCGTAGGACTCTTGCTTTCCGAAGGTGGTTGTACTCAAGGCTAGTTTCTTATGTACTTTTGGTTAATTCAAAGGGCCGACTTGCGGGAAACGGAGGCTTACCGCCTCTCATGGAATTCTTGGTTATTTGAATGCAGTCATTTGAAACAAGAACACTTCAGAAAGATTTATGAAATCCAAACAGCTGGAGTTTTACCGTAATGGAATAAATGGATCTTCTTAACGGCATAAACATGCAGGTTTTAATGGTTTTATTTCGAATAACAAAATTGTGTATGTACTGAGATATGTCTAGCATTTTGTCCTCTTCTGACCTTACCAATTTATTGAGACCCGTTTATTTGATGTTGCTATCAAAAAAAAAAAAAAAAAAAAATACGGATAGCTCGTGCCTGGCCACCTATCCCGTTTCGATGACATTCAAGGTGCACTACTAACTTTACTGTTTTGGTGCTCAACCGATGAGCTCATAAAATATTATCTGACGAATTTTCCCAGCGGAATACCAAATATCGATCGTCATCGATTTTGGGTTGTTTCGTAATTGTAATTGTTATCGACGTACCAATAATAGTGAGCATCACACTCATTTGAACGGCAGTGCATCTGTCTAAAGGTCAACTAAGAGTTAGACATGCATCACGTCGCTTGATCGGCTTAGATAAACAGGATAATAGAGTAACGGATGGGGTAAAGTCTTTGACATTTTATCGCAAATGCAGAAAGAGATAAAAAAAACTTGCGCGATTACAAGCAGCGAATGATTAACATGACAGTTAAGAATCAATTCTGCAGATATTATCTAATCTTTGCGAGACGAGTAGAGCACATTAGTAAGAGTTGCCTTGCAACACTCAAAGGATTATTGGTTTAATTCCACTCGCAGCTCTAACAAAATTTTCCATCACTTCGAGGTTTGGAAAGCAGAAGAGATTTCCTTGATTGGATACAACAGTTACATTGGTAGGCCACCGCAAAGATAGACCAGGTATGCAATCAATCACCTCTATGCGGCTTGAAGAACTCGAGTGCGTGGCGTATCTCGAAGAAATCGATGAACCTCGAACATTTAACCTTTCTATTTAAAGTGCCTATATAAAACAGTAGAAACAGAGCGGTAATTTAAAGTCAGGTGTAACTGCGATGGCCCTTCTGTTCTATAGAAGTTTTTAGACTTCAGCTGTCACAGATGCTTGGTTATACGAATAGTTTAATACAGCACCTTTCTTGGGTTAACATTTTATTTTACTGAATTCTACACACATCCAACGATGGGGTTTATCCTACCGTAAGATCTTAATAAAATGAATATGATGTCCCTTACAAATGAGTGAGTTTTGTTCACTATTAGAACACTGCACGAAAACTGAAGAAATACCAACGCTTACTAGTTTCGTTGCAGTCAAAGAAAAAAAAAGGCAAAAAAGAATTCTTGGGACATCGTAGAATTCAGACAAATGGGCTTAGGCTGGACCACATCTAGGGATATGCTGTAGTGAAATACGGTAGCTTTCTCTAGTAATAGAAGAAAGCTTCAGTGGTGGTCAGATCACTGCACAGCTCTAGATGTAGTCTTGTAGGACATCAACGCTTTCTGTCCTTCGGCGGCATGATTGGAATATGTTTCTTGCTAACGGTGGCCCCGTTCTTTGGTGCTTCAATGGTCAGTTTGCCCTGATCGTTTAACTCCGTCTGTATTGCATCTGTGTCCACGTCATTCGGAAGAGTCCAAGAACGCACAAATGATCTGAATCCGTAGTTCTGCTCGTCGAAATCATCGACATCCACGGCAAGATACAGCGAATGACAAAAACAGCGAACCTAGCCATATAACTGTTGTCGTTTTTACATTCCTGCTTGCCTTCGACCGTCAGCACTTTACCATCCAGATTCACTTTTAGTTCTTCTGGCTTAAAATGTGACACATCGATCGAAACGGCGAATTTCTTATCATCATCTACTACCTAAAAACGACTCCACGCAATATATAGATAAAAAACCTAGCAAAATTAAATAGATGCGCTTGCAGAGCTTAGTGGAGATCATTAGACTGCTTGGACGCTTCTTATATGCGGCGAGAATATCATGTGGCTTTAGCTATGGATAAAGACAATAATAGCATTAATAATAATAATAATAACAATAATAACAATAATAATTTGTTGTTCTTAATTTATTTCTTTAAATTTCCGTCTGCAGCTCTACTGTACGGATACCAGCACTTCTAACATTCGATTCGTTTCCTTGCATTACCTACGAAGACCTTTCAACTTTACGTGTGACTTTGGTTGCTGCTTAGGATTTTTGTTTCATCTTGAATGTCGTAGGATGTCGGTCGAGTTGATTCTCACTGGAACCGTGGGGATAGCAGGGCTTGAACGTTCCGAATTGGATTGCAGAGAGGTTTTTTTCCCGAACAAATTTGGTATCAATTTCCGATTCTGGAGGAATCAGAGGCTTGACTGGCCCGGAGAGCAGCATGCTCGTGATAACAGACTTCAGTACTGCTGTGCTATTCGCTCCAGTAATGATAGTAATAGTAGTAATAATAAAGCAATATTTTTGACAATAATACCTGATCATATCTGAGCGTTACCACATTTCGTGATTACATTCACACCTCAAAATTGCTTCATTTCACGTCCAATTCATTAGACGAAAACAAAAGTAGCCAATTAACTATTCGTGACCGTAAGCATTGATTTCAATGCATCAGCCCTCCAATTCTTATTTTTATCGAGCAAAACGCTTTGTATTGAGTAGATAGCATCATGAACATATGAGGTAGCAGCCATTGATAGAGAAAATCTAGTTTCTCTACATTACAGTACAAACGGTTATTGGAACAAGTTTGCTCATCTTCATGAGTACCGTGATGACTCCTCATTGTACAGAGTGTCATAAAGGTTCATCAAGAAGGAGAGAAAAACATGAGCACCATGTCGACTGCTTGCCTATTGTATTATATAAGTAGTGTGACAACGAGCAGTGCTTCGGATAAACAGAGTAGTGAAATGTGTTTGGTTTGGTTTGGATTCCTTTTTTTTTTCCTTAGGTTTGGAAAAGTGAGCATGAAGCTCAATATATAGTGTTGAGAAAGAATAGGTTTGATCCGCTACGATTGCAGTCTAAAATCAGACGCAGTCGTTAATGTATTAGCAGCTTGTCTTTGAAAGTACTCCAATTCCATTCTTGGTATAAATAGAGAACCGCAGAGTGCAGAAACATCTCTCTAGCGTGGATCACAGTATTACCTATGATCCCACTGATCATCGAGTGATTCGAGAAGGCACCAGTAAATCTTAATTTTTCCCTGTATCGTGCAAGAGTAGCCGAATGGGAACTGTTGGCCCTAGAGACACGTTGGTCGTTACATGTTTCTTCTAGCGTTTTCGTGAAGAACTCTGACCTTGGGATCAATGGCCTTCCTACTGTGGGCTCGACATCCCGAAGAGTCCAGTCACTAACGGCTCCTTTTGTCCATCGGTTAGCGTTTATACGCATTGCGTGTCTGGCTCATCTTTTCTTCGGCAATTTGGCGCACAGAACAGCATCTTTAAAATTTGATCGTAGACGTAGATCGGTGCTTCGGATCCACTCCCTCAATTTCATAATTCAAGATAAATTATCCCATCATCGTCTTTTCGACTGCGCATTTTATGATGTTGACTGGTCTATCAACTTGCCTCCGTCGCGCCCATATTTCTGAGGCTACGTTAAGGCAGCGAGAATCGCGTACTCGAAAGGATAGGCGCGGAGTCTGGTGTTCATTGTTCTTTTCACTACATCATCAAAGCTCTTGAGAAGTCATCAAACATCTCGCTTTCTTTTGCTCAACCTTGGAGCTAACTAATTTATCATGTTGATTTTCTGATCTAGAGAGGCGTAGCTGAAGCCTTCTTTCAGCTGAGCGTGAATAGGGCATACGACACTAATTCGCTTCCCATATACATCGTTTTTGGTAGATTCATCCGAAGACCGCTCGTTCTACAGGTGTTATCAATGCTGGCCATTATTCGTTTTCCTTGCCTGATGCATGGTGTTATACGAACGATATCACTAGCGAAGCCAATGTGGTCCAATTGCAGACCATCACTTTTTATTCCTATATTGTTTCATTCCAGTGTTCATATGACGTTTCTGGTGGTAGTGAATAATTTTGCCGAGATGGCAGCCCCTTGATTAACCCCTCTTTTCATTTCGATGGTAATACTGTTGCAGAATGGTCATATTTCTGTTGTGAAATTTTTTATAGTTTACTATGAGGGGCGCGTGTGGCGCAGTCGTCGGAGGCGCCCTGCAACACACACGTGGAATCGATCTCTGTGCAGATGGCCAACCAAGCCTTCCATTCCTCCGGGGGCGGTAAATTAGTACCAGAATTGTCTGGGAGGGTAGCAGCACTGGCTCGATACATCGGTAGGCCACCGCGAGTCATTGTAAAGGCCGGATATGCATTCAATCACCTCCAAACGATGCTTAATTAAGTCGAATGCATGACGCATCCCTCAGGGATTGATCAACGCTGAAAGCTTTACCCTTTATCCTTTATTGCTATAAATTTTGGCATATTAACAGAGATGTTCTGCTCTTCTGGGCTTTCACCAATGCTTCTGTCTCAGCTGAGTCAATTGTTTCATGTCGATGAAAGTGAAGCCGAGCGGTCTCTTGTACCTTTGCGATACTTCAAAGAGACTTGTTACCGTCCGAATGTGGTCCATCGTGCTGAAATATTCTTGAAAACCTTCTTGCTAGCTTGGATGTCTTTCGTCTAATGTTCTGTTCCCGCTTAGGATGACTCGAGTGAAGAGTGTATAGGCAATATAAAGCATGAAGATTGTGTGTTTCTGGTCTTTCTTTGAACGGAAACCTTGCATTCTGACAGGCAACGTGCAAAGAGCTACCCCAGTGTGCTTGTGACAACTGGCGAGAGGTTCTTTGGGTGTTCAGATCTTATCCTGTCCGAAGCGGGTGTTGTTCAATTCTTCACCGAAGAAATAGCGTGTTGGATTTCGGAATAAACAACCGGTTGTACGAAATACCCATCCTCCTTTATTTCATAAAGGGCAGGAAGTTTCCTCCATTGCCTTTTTGCAAGCTGTAACTGTCTTGTCTGGACCTCGGTATGCAACCGTGTTGGTTTTGTAGTTTGGAAAGCTTCCATGGGCTTTGCAAATGCTTTTCCTAGCCTCAGCTGGTGCTTTTCTTTCTTTAAACTCTTCTTTTATCGCCTTTCTGCATTGTTTTACAGCTCGTGCTTTCATGGCAACGTATTAGCTTGGAGGCAGAGGTCTCTTGGTGACCTTCCAACTCCCAGCTTTCATAACGCTAACGTGGAGATGTTGTATGAACTGATCGTATTCTTCGTCTGTGCTATCGATGACAGCATCCTCCCGAGAGCCGACTAGTGTCTGAATTTGATCTGAACAAATCCCAGCTTATTGTGATTTCCGAACTTCATTTTTTTAACTTAGCAGTTTTCTATACTTTTTGCGAGAAATGGAATCGTGCGCAAGGAAGCGGTAGTTTGATCCGGATAGAATTTTGGGACAACAGTGACATCGGTTAGGCAAAACCTTCAATCGATGTGGTGTACTTTACGGTGTTCTCCATTGGCAGACTCCCATGTTCATCGTTAGTAATGAAGCTTCCAGAATGATTATATTAAAAAAGCATTCTATAGGAAAAAAAATTTCACATAAATTAGATGGGCAATTATTGCATTTAGTCTGTCGCTTAACCTATCACGAGGTGCCGGTGTACTTCTACGAATACATGGCTTCTTTTTCATTTCGATGTGGGTACATAACTCCTTGCAACCTCACCCATTCATCCGACAGCCGTCACTAGTTCGGCCAGTCGTAATCCTAGCAACCTTGGCCTCTTAGCCCTATTCCTGTTACTTCATATCATTTGTGGTTCATTCTGATCCAAATTCACCAAAATCGTCTTCATTCCTACCTGATGAGCTTCGTTCGCAACTTGTAGCATTGAATGATCTGCATCCTTCCAATATTGTGCGAATCGACTATTATGCATGGCCATTTCTTTCATGTACTCATCCATCATACGCTCCATCATCCTGGACATGTGCCAGAACGACATTTTCGGTGTTTCAGTTATTTTCAGCCTCTGAAAGGAAAGCTGTTGAAATTCTTACATTGAATAACCGCGTTTCGATTGTAAATTTAAGCCCTTGGGTAAAAAAAAACTTTTTGTTTTGGATTGTTCAACGGTTAACTGCTAGATTCTGTCCAAATTTTGTGAAAGTGTTCCCATTTGATGGTGCATTGATCATAAGGTGATGGATGGCATTTAGAAAGTATCCTGTGAAAAAAGACGGAAGGCAATAATATAGGATTTTGGGGTCTTAAGCTGACATCGAGTCCATTACCTATCAGTGAAATTATACATATACGTCAAGGCTAACTGTTAGGTATGATCTGAGTTAACCGTCGATGGAAAATGTAACTTCCCATCTGGCAAAGGATAAGGCAAGACAAAGTTGCAAAGTCCACGTTGATCAGTCTCCAAGGGAATGTGCCATGCATTCAGCTTCATCAAGCATCGTTAGAGATAAGTGAACGTATATCCGACTTTTACAATGACTTCGCTGTATGAAATCAGCGCTACTATCCGCCAAACAATTCTGACCACAGTTTGCAGATCCCGGACAATGGGAAGTTTGGTGAGCCCGAGCAAGTTTGTAGTACCGGGTATCTATTACTATAAAACATGATAAACGGATTACAGCTTCACAACTTTATTAAGAAGAACTTCAAAAAGAAACAAGAACTAGCCTGAGACGAAGACGTAGAGATTCGCGATAGACGAAACAAAATGGAGGTGAACATGGAAATGGTTTGGATTTTATATGCGCATCCACGTGGATTTGATAATGAACACGTCTACAAGCTTCTGTGAGCGTTGGAATTCATGTTTAGACATGTGTTTATCAGGCCATCACATGATAAATGAAGAAAAAAATCGATAAATTTAGCCTCTGATTGATTACTTCCTTCGACCGAGTTTAATGCAACTTTAACAAAAATGGTCAAAATCTTGACTTATTGATCGGTTCACCTTAGCCCGGGAGGCACTTTATTGCAGCCGATGTACAGGTAGCATCACCATCGTCAATAGCGTACTGGGTCGAGTTCAGTGTGTCTACAGCATTGTCAGCTCATTCCCGAGATGTGTTAAGCCTTCAGAATTGCGGCACCTCTGCTCCGGCTCGTTCTATTTTGCTCTACACCAGTGTTGGACGTGTCGCTCAAGAAAGGTGGGCAAAAGGGTCTTCGTAGCTACCGTCAGACTTCTTCTAAATTAGCCCTACAATCTACTCATAGAGATCTTTTAGCACAGTAGTTGAACGACGTTTAATGAAGTCTAACTATTT